GATTTTGGTGAAAAACTTTAATGCTAATTTAAAAATTGTATCAATACAACAAGTATGTGCAGAGCAAGCTGAATAAGTTTAAAATTTGTTCATCCCTCATTTTCAGCAAAATTATTATTTTTAATACTATAAAGTATTAAAGGTATATTTATCACTTACAGGTGAATCATAAAGGAGATAACAACGTTACTATAGAAAATGTTTAAACAATACATTTTAAAGACATTGTGCTTAATATAAAGATTTTCTTGAATTATTTATTATGCTTCTATTTGCACTTTACATATAACTAACTACAGAATTTCTATGTTCACCATTCCTGATTTTATGTCAAAAGTTACAGTCTTCCATGCTTTGGAAGCAAAGCTAAAGTTAGGATAAAAAAAAAAATCCTTCTGCTTCAATGTGAATCTTGTAACACTCATAAGTATGGAATTAATTGAGTAACACCCTGCTGCAGAGAAATCAATGGAAAAATCCTCACAATGTAAAGAGAAAGTGAGAAAGATTGATCAGCTCTCAGGAGATATTTTTCCTTAGACTCCTTCCCCTCCTGCCCCCAAATGCACAGTAAGCATTTGGCTTCGTATAATTTGTATTCTTTAGTATTTTCTCATTGCTATGACACTGCAGAAGAAACTTAAAGACAACCCCAACATATCCTCTGGTATTATGCTATACTTACAGTTTCATAGATTATGATGCACTTGTCCACAGACCTTAAAAAAATACATTGACATGAAAGTGATGCAGAGAAGGAAAAGGAAAGTGTTTCATTAACTTTCTCCACAATCCAAGATTTCAAACTCAATCACCTACAAGACACAGACTGATTGTAAAGACACTTCAACAGCTCTAGAGGTCACAGAACTATTCCCTAATTATTGATAATAAATATTTAGAAATTTTTAACTCTTTTGAACTTTCTGTTTTACAATATTAAAGCATGAACCTGGACAGCCTAACATTTCAACAAGGTGCTGCTTACCCCGAGACTACCATCTGTCCGTCACATGAAAATGCACAAGCCAGAACTGGGGCAGAGTGTCCATTCAGTGTGCATTTATACTTTAACTGAACACCTAAAAAACCAAAAAGGTAAATTATTACATATGGCTATATTTGACAAGGCATAACACAAGCTGCTCTAAGAAGCCCAAGGCTCCACCAAAGATGTGACTCTGTGACATACTGTTTACAAAAAAGGGGATAAAAAGATCACAGAGACAACTTCCCCTTTTAATATCTCAAACTTTATCACTTTGTAGTCTTAGCATGTCTCACAAGGTTTTAGATAATTAAATGTGTATCTGGACACACAGTATTTATGCTTACAGACTTTTTTATAAAGGAGATTACAAAAAAGCACCCACTGAAGATATTTTTGGTAATTTACTTAGTCTCTACATTGTAGTTTTTGCAGGAGCCAACATTCTTTTCTCCAGCTCTTATTCAAGGCCCAGGATATACTGAAACATGAAAACAAACTTTTCCCTGGCCAGGCAGATTAAGAGGTTTTAACCTATCAACCCGCTGAAAGGCCACAGTAGAATTTTTTTTAAATCTTTACTTACAATACTTGTTAAATTGCTAAATAAAATCTACATGGCACAGCATCACAAAGTGCTGAATGCCTTAGCTGTTCTCCAGCTAATAATTAAAAGAAAACTTTCTTTTGTGGTTAGTTTGGCTGTGAATCCAAACTGTGGATTCAAACTTGGATCCAAGCCAAAAATCACTGGCTGTGATTTTTTTTTTTTATTTAAATTGTCACTAAAGACCTAAGACATTGGTAAATCCAAAAAACATTTCTATACAAACCTGAGAAATCTGCAAACAAAATAAGCCAGAGTTTGATATGATTATCTTGTCCACAGGAAGCCATCTGGAAGTATTTGAATCCATTTTCACTATCTGACAAAATTAAAATACATAAATGGGAGTCAGAAACATTGAAAATAAGAGCACATCAGTAAAGTACATCAGCATAAAAATCATTGCAGAAGTTCTAAAACAGTTTGGACGTAAGAAATAGGTATCATTATACTCTTTTCTGAATAAGTAGATTAAGACCAGAGCTGTACTCATGTTTTAAACTTTCTTGGTGAGAAATGTTTGAATCCTCTGATTATACTGCTAGAGTCTTTAAATCTAAATTATATGGTTGTATCTATTTTTTCTACAGTTGCACAATTCTCAAAATTAACCAGATACACATACAAAATTTGAGAGTATCTGACAGGGAATTTTCATGCTTTTATACATTCAACTTTTCACTTTTATAAACTGACATTTCATGACTGCAGTCCAGCCAAACACTCAGTAAATACTGCATTAAGTGTGAAATTCCTCTAAATGACAAAGTCAGGTGCAGGAAAATAACCTATCTGTTCATATTCCAAAGTTCAAGCATTTAGCTTATTAGATTTACAGCTCTCTGCACTGTTTTAATCCAGTCCTGCTCCTTGGGACCCAAAGTATGAAAGAGACAAGTGGGAATGGTAATCAAACACTGCATCTCCTATCACCCTTGTCTGCCATGGGGGCAAATCAGCTACTCAAAGTTACCACCTTGTCTGTTGACCTAGTACATTCCTTGCCACCAACCTGACCACAACCTTTACTTAAGAATATCCAGAATATTTCAAAACATCACAAGGTCATTTGTATCTCGAGCACCAATGGCAAAAATACAAAAACAAGAGCTAGGGAGAAATAAACATCTCTTTTTGAAAATGTTCCTCCTCTGATGAGTTGAATAACTAACCAGATACTGGATGTGAAGAAATATCACAGCAGGTAACGCCAAGATCATGTGCTTTTTCATTACACAGGCATCTCATTTTATCATCCCAAATGGTTAAATCACCACTAGATGATCCAGTGACAAAGAAGTTTCCACTGGGAGAAAATGCACAAGCCATCAAAGAACCATCTTTAACTTTCCCAGATCTGAAAAACAAGAGTACACAGGATTTGAATTTAGAGTAGGTAAGGTTCTACAAAGTGACCTCTCAAATGCAGTCTGATGCAATAAGCCAAACTCTTCTATGGTTTGCACTTTGGAACTAGCTAACAGAGGAAAAAGAAACTCAAACCAACTATGAAAGGAGAGCAAAATGAGCTCTGCAGCAGGGACCAGACCAGCTCTTTGACAGCAGGAGGAAAAAATATTAGACGGAGGCCCAAGGCAATAATTTTAACTGAGAGATAAAATAATTTTGAAACTAAAGACAATTTGCATGGATTTAACACTTAAAAGGCACAATGCACTGTTAAAATTCTATAGCAGGATACATTTTAAAAGTCAAAGATAAATATACAACTGTAATTAACACAGATTTCCATCATGTACACAAACAAGGGGAAAAAAAGACTGACAATTCTTCTGTTTTAGAGACAAAAGAGAACACCTAATAGCCCATATGATAAGGTGTACCTGAGTGGTATACTTGGTGATTTATGATGTAGGATTAATTTTGCACCATTTGAACACAAGAGAAAGCAAGATGGAAAAGAAATTATGTATTTTAATTAAGTCAGCCAAAGAACTTTGCAAAACTGACCTTCAAAGAAAATTTCTAGCAGATATGGAAGTGTGGTCAACCCTCAGGAAGGCAGTGGGGTCAACCTGATGTGCTTTATACTACCTGATAACCTAAAGTTAATGGAAAGAATCTCACTCCTTTTAATGGACACCAGATCCAGCCAAGCGTGCACAGTTGAGTCTTCGAGTGCGGGGAGAAAATCACAGAACTATTTACTCTGTCATCATACTTCGCAGGACAGCTGCTAATGCTCTTTTACTGACAGAAATTTTATTTACTGCCAGAGGTGTCAACTTAATGTCACAGAAGACAAGTCAAATTTTACTCAATGTCACACTAATCAGACCCACGACTTTCTAAAAAGCATTGTCTCCCTTAATTCTTTTATTAAGAATATTATCAACTCCACTACAGTGCTTCCCATTTTTATATGTACAATCCTTTATCTTTAGTGTAGCTTTTACAACTTTCATTCTTTCACACAAGAAGTTGCTGACTCTGCTCTGAAAGCAACAGTAAAATAAATAGCATTGTGCATGCATTTAAAATTTGCAGGCCAAATACCAGTTTTGTAACTTACTACTGAACAGGAAATAGAGACCAGCAAGAAATACACACAAGTCAACTTCTTTCCTGTTGTTTACATGCACCATAGAACTTATTTAAATAGCCACCTTACTTCACAATCTGAACTGTCAATTACAACAGCTGAGTAGACAAGGAACAAATTTTATGTAATTTTATTATCATTATCATATATATATTTAGTCGCTGACAAAAGAGTGTAGTAAAATGCTTTCTCATTTTCATTGTTTAACTTAAAAAACCAAAAAGCTACTTAGCACTTCTCCCTCTCCTATCGATAACCTTTAGGTCATCTAAATCCTATCCCCGTTTTGTTGTGATATCCATCAACGGTGTAAGTCTACCTATCTCGTACACCGTAGAGCATACTGCTTGAACTACATTCACCTCAAAACAAACATTGGCCAGCAGACAGGCGGCACTCACCGGTGCAGCTGCATGGACCGCACGTCCCAGAGCACGGC